TGATTAATACACCCACGACCAGGCCGGAATCCGGCTTGCTGTCCACAGATGTTGGTCTCTCTTAAATGGGTCAGACGTCGAAGTATGACTGAGGCTAGGACTTTGGTGCCGATCGGGATCAAACTGAACCCGCCGTGGTTTTCGCATTCGCTGCGTGATCCTTTCTGGAAAGTTGGAATGATCAGTGATTCGCTCCAAGATGATGGAATGTGTTCTAGCGTCCAAATGTTGTGCAGTGAGGTTGCATATGCTTCAGAATATTGCCAGGTTGCCTTTGATATGGCGCGTCGTTAAAAAAGCCCGGGCTTGAGCCGCGCTAAGAGCAACTTTTAACGCACGTCAACAATCATTCGGATTTCACAAAGCGACTTCCGGTTAACCATCAGAGAACTTTTGAAGCAAAACGAATTGTCGACTAACTTTCACTGCTTTACCCTCCCCCCTGAAAAGAAAATAATTTCCTTAAGTGGTACAGCGTCAATGTGCCGAGAAACACGTGGTTCTGAGCCCATTATATCAGAGCTATTAACAATGATTCTAGAACGGAGTTTCATCAGGAAACTTGGTCAACCGACAGCCCTTCGATTGGCCACTTACTCCTCCTGAAAATTGTATTATGTAATCAATGAAAGGAAGTAGAAATAAGTGGACAGGTTTAGGTAGTCACGTGAAAACAAGGATCGGTCAAAGCGAAGCGCACGGAATCACGCTACACAACCGCCGGATTAAACTGATTGATCAACGTTGATGACCTCATATTGGGTGGCGGGTGAGATTTTCACGCTTCGTGGTGCTGCCAACAAACATCTGTTGTTCGATGTCACAGTGAGATCGATCAGAAGGCGAAGAACTGACACAGTATCAAACATGATCACCTGCTACTGTTTTTCTGGTCAAACGGTGTTCATTTATTTACGGTCAAGTATTCACGTGTGTTCTTCTTTAGTGGTGATTGTTGGAGAAGAGATTAGACCTCGAATTTAAAAATATCTACAGAAAACCTTTATCGATCAGTTGAAATAATCTGTTGGAGATAAACCTGATTGCAACGGATTCAAGTACTATCGTATAGTTCCCAAAATGATTCGTGTCCAAGTTCTATTCAGCATCGATGTTGTACGGGGATATATATATTACGTGTAGATAACAAAACTCAGCCGTTAGACACTGAGTGATATGGCTGTGTCGTAGTCAATGGCGTTTGAGTAACCACACCTATGCTGACGGGGCTTGATGTGGTTCACCATATTACCCGGTTGCCATGACCGAACATCAGATCCCCGTGACTGAGATTTACTCAGTCTGCTGCTTGTCACACAGTGTACAAAAAACCATGCGTAAAAACTAAGCGTTTTCTGGCAAAATGGTTGCAGTATCCCACAGTAAGGTTACTGAGCTTCTGCAAGACGCGTGAGAGAACTCTCTAGCTACAGGGACCTACTGTACTGCTAAGAAAACCGGCAACTTGAAATGGTGAATCACATAAGCCCTCATAAGAGTAGCGGTTATGAACTAGCTCCGGATTCGAGAAGAGTATAACACTTCATTTTGTGGATAACGTCATCCCTGATTGGAAAAACATTTCTGATTTTAAAGGATTATCTTTAAGCTTGCGTAGCATTTCCGAAAACGGTTACTTCGATACATTTGTATTTGATCTAGAGCAAAATCCACTGGAGGGGATGAGGAATGCGAAACGCATCATAAATGAGGACTACTGAAAATGATTGCACTATAGTGCTAGTCCTAAGTTATCCAGAGCTTTTGACCAAAGATGGGTTAATTGCCTACCCGTAACCGCTCTTAAGGTCAAGTACCCAAAGATGGTGTGCAACAAACAAGTGAAAAAGATGTGAACTGAGATCATTGCAAATTGCACAAATCAATCACTATCAAAAAACGGAATTCACAGACGACATGATGAAAACAGTTTGTGCAACAAAACAGCGGAGACAAGAAGGGCACTTTATAGCAGGCCATCTATAACCAAACTGCAATGCAGAACTTGAAAGTGAGAAAAGCAGATGAGAGAAACGATGACGGTTCGAGCCAGTTGTTAACCATAAAGTTAAAAACAACAATATGTGTACATTTAGTTGCAGGTTTTGCAACCCTACGCGCATTCACGTAATAATGTTGGACAACTATGCTTGCCATGGGATGAGGAACTGAAAAAGTTTCACCACTGTGGCGAGCAAATAGCAAGACCAAACCTAACCAGGGAGAAGAAAGCTACAAAGAAAAATCAATGTCAGGGGCAAAAATTACGACGAAATAAACACCAGTGGTCAGCAGGATAATACGCGTTTGCTTGTAATGGAAAACCAGAATAGTCCGTCTCTGTATCTGTTGGGGAACAATACCCGGTAGCATGCTCGAGTGAGAAGTATTCTCTGAGACGAGCGAAAACATTTCATACATCGGTAAAAAAAATCACACTGTGCTGAACATTCAAGAAAATCGTATCGCATTTAAATTAACAAGCGGACAAATCAACACAATATGAGGTAGGATACAGCAGCTAACATAAAACTCACGCCTTGATCATTGTCGTGAGCAGACGATGGATAGGCCGACAGTCTGCCAGTCCCGGCGCTTTCCGCCTGGTAATAGATAAAAGAACAAAAACATAGGGTATTGATTATTGCTTGAGAGAAAATACCTGACACGAGAATCAATCAGGAAGAACCCAAGAGAACTGTGATAGAATAAAATCAGGTTCTAAAATCGCTTTGTCGTTCCCCCAGAGAAACATCGCACCTGTACTTAGAACGGTTCTGCTGGAAAAGGACTTCATTTAAATGGACACACTTGGCAATAATGTCAGTAAGACAAACAGACAATGTAAGAGGGAAGGTGTGCGGAGAAACATGCAGATAAAAACCAATTTCTTGGTTTCACTTTTGAAAAGAGTAAAATTGTGTTTAAAAATACTGAGGAGAAGAGATTACCATAACTTCGTAGTCTTGGGGGAAAAGAGGATTGGGAGATAGAATTCCGACATTTTGGTTTAGAAACCTGATAAAGGTGACTGTCCGCCTGAGAACAAGATGAACAAGAAAAAGACAATTGGAGGGGAACTATTGAAAACAGTTCAAAAGAAACCAAAATAGTAACAGCCGAAAAGAGATAAAGAAGCAACTGCCCAGTGACGGGAAAACGACTGCAGCTTTGAAGTTAAAGACGGTTGGCGGATCAACCAGATGGCCTTAATTTGGACTGAAAAATTGCTGGAGCACCTAACATTATACAAGCTGCATAGAAAGGTTTGCCATCCCCAAAGGCAAAACATAACATACTGATCGGTTTTGGTCATCACTGAGTTTAAATTAATATATGCTAGTATGTACCTTAACAACCTTTGTGGGTTCTAATTGATCGCACCGACATCAAACACGACTCGCATTAGTCGACCCGTGTGATCGCTGATAAACTGTTAGTTTGCACCGGGCTGTCCTAGTGGAAGTCTAAAAGGCAGGACGCAATCACGGTTAGATGCCAACAGATGACCACAACCTTTAGTATTAACCGCTTAACAAAACGGACTAGCTCAAAAGTCGTATGATTTAGACGAGCGCTGGACGCTGAGTTAGANTCATTCAGTGTCAGTAGTCTCGAGCTGACTAACATCACCGAAAAGCCAAGGACCTCAACAGAATCATTGTATCTACATGACGCATGAGTCGACAGCACGTGTAAAGCTTGGCAACTAACGGTAGTAACATCCTATTTCACCTGTTCACCGAGCTTGGCAATTTGTTTGCAAACGTTTCATCACCAGCCGAGGTGACATCATCAGTATTGTAAAGTGGCAGTCTTCTGCTTCTGTCCGTTTGTTTATATGTGTTCTTCTCCACCGACCATTGTTGTCCCTTGTTCTCATTGTGTTCGACTGGGTTCGCCGTTAAACTGGTGCGTGNGAGGTTGGTAGGGTAGCAACATCCGTCAGTTTGCATATCACTGAACCTTTTTGAACTGAGCCTCGAAATGTTCACCCCACCATCAAGACGGCGTTGCTGATCGTGAACGGTGTGCCATCGGATTCCTTAATTACTTTACTGAGGAAAGTTTTCTTGGGGCTAGTATTCTTAATTAGACGGAAAAGATTGCGACTATTACAAATAGCGGCAGCTTTCTCTACCTCTTACACTTTTCTTCCCACCACTCCTAGCGGTCATTCCTCAGACTATTGATGAACGGGCGTTTGAGAGATTCGCGCGCTGTCATATGTGGAATCAGGAGGGAAGGGTTCTACGGGTGTTCAGCAGAGCAGCCGAGGTCGATGAGATCCATCGTCTTTGTTCTGAGTTTGCAGGAGGGTCCGACGTTGTTTTTATCGATATTTGCATAGCTTCCTTGATTTGCCTCTGTTGTGTACTGACTGTTGCTGAGAACGTTATCGCATCACCAACTTCCGAGCCGAAAAAGAGAACACAATCAAAATGGCACCCGACAGTACATTAGAAAAATAAAGCATGTCTTCCTTTTTCATTTACGTGTTAGCATTCGTTCTATTTATTGCCTCCGGTGCGTTCTGAACGTTCGATACAATTGAACAGTCAGAGTAGTCGGACCTCTCGGTTGACTACACTGTCTGACTAATCAGAAACGTCGGGCCGTCCGGTCGAATACAATGGCCGATCAATTCTGGCCGGAGGCTCACTCAGCTGCGGCTTCTCTTTTGGCTATTTTCGCGAAAGATATGGATTTTTCGACCGGGATTTTTTCAAATTTAACCTTCCGGACAGCATTCAGTATTCATTGAGTCCTTCGGCTGGTGATTGAACTGAGGGGATCGGAGAGTACCGATTCGAAGGCCGATTTGCACAAATAATTGACATTGTATCGTGGGTATCCGTTGCCGATGGCTTTTTTCCAGGAGTAAGGAGAATTTGGATCGTAGCAAAGCATGGTCCGTATCCACAGGTGTTGACCAGTGAGAACGGCAGTCTTGAATCGACCCTCTCCAACATTAACTGAAGTCTCCAGCGACTCACACGATTCCGTTGACCTAGCACTTTGGAGCAGTTGAGAGAGGTCCTTGTAGAACTCATCCTTAATTTCTGGCGAATTGCGATCAGTTGATGCATAGGTGGATACGACGAACAAACATCGACGTTTCGATCTGTAGCTGTTGATCCGTACTGAACCACCCAGACTTACAACGCGAAGTCGACTGCTAACCGGAATCCAGTCGAGAACTGAACGCTTGGCCGTGGCACTTGAGTGCAATTCCAACACCAGTAACATCGCGAGTTTCGGATGTCGAATCGCCTGACACACGGAGAGTGAAGCGTG